GCACGGGAGGAAAAACCCAGATGGGAGTTATGCTTGAAGACAAACAAAAAAAAAAAAAAATGCAGCATTTACAAAGGTAGGCAGGCACTTGGGGGGCGCTTCTTGACTTTCCTGCCTCGCCTCGGCACACCTGCCACTGGCAGGCAGCTGTACAGGTCTGGGGGTCTGCGTGACGCGGGAAGGGGGCGGTGCGCCGTCATGTGGCCTGCCAAACACTTTGTTTCTCACTCAGCCTTGTTGTGCAACCTCTTCTTGTGACTTGATTTTTTTTTTTTTTTTTTTTTTTTTGGGCCGGCTTGCTACCTTGTGTGGTGGTGATGTATCTACAAGCATACCTGGTGGCGCAGTTCGGCGGCCGCACTGCGCCAACCTCTTCCGTCAGAAAGTAGAAGCACTGATGATTCATTCACAGCATAGCAGCGAATGTGTACAACGATTAGTCTTCATGGCTTAGTTGGTTAAAGCGTCGGTCTCATATGACAATATGATCCAGTCGACGAACACTGGAGTCATCCGAAGGTCGCGAGTTCGACTCTCGCTGAGGACATCCCTTTTTTTTGCGCATTGGGGCACAAACTTGGTCCTGTCTCTTTTTAGCCATCCAAACTCATCCCCATCTACCCATTACTAGGTACAGTTTTTCTTCTCCCCTTGTTCATCCATTTTTCTCGTGCTCTGCCCGGAACACCAACACCATCCCATTCAATTACAACAGCCATGACCAAACACCGCGGCAAAAGAAACAATGCAAACGTCAAAGCACGCACCCCGCAATCCGCATTAAGCTGCCACGCGGGGTGAGATTAGAAGCACTACAAAGTCGTGGTGCATACGCATCCCATATCGTGCCATGAACATTCTCCCCGCGCGCAGCCGTTGGAACTCGCATGAAAAAGATGCACGTGCCATCCTGTATTGTATCGTGTAGCCAAGGCCAAGCAAGCCTGCAACACGAACCCCCCCAGATTACCCATGAACCATAGCGGGAGAGTGTGTGTGAGTACCAAAACAAGATCTCACAGATTAGCCAGGCTAGATAGAGTAAACAACAAACATTATTATTACTTGTCCATGACGACCGCCCGCAAATGGCTTACAAGAACATTCATTCACTTTTACCACAACGCAAACGGGCTGCGAGTCCAAGAAGGCAGTGTGGTCACCGTCAATCACAGGCTCCAAAGCTGCCCACACCTGACGTTGTAAGGAAAACATCGCTCATATCCCCGCCATGTATGTGTAGATCCAAACTCCGGAAAAGGTGGTTGAAAACAGAGATGAAGCATGAATAAGAAGCAGAGAAAGAAGAAGTTAAAAGGAAAAAAGAAAAAAAAAGATAAAGAAGAAGAAGAAGAAGAAGAAAAGTATACACCACCGCCGCCTTCCCTCCCACCCTATAATATTTCTTACACGCAGTAGCCCCCCCCCCCCCCTAACTAGGTAGGTAGGTTTAAATACACATCCCACCACAGTACCTACTAGTATTTACACTCGGCCTCCCAAAATGAACAACATACTTGGATTCCATTCCCAACCGCTCGAGAACGTGGTATCTTGAAAGGAAAAAAAAAGGAAGAAAGGAAGAAGAAAAAAAAAAATAAAAAAGATAGAAGGCAAGAGAAGGCAAAGGTAATATAAAAACAAGGCACAAAAAGCACACGCCGGCAAGATAAAAAAAAAAAAAAAAGA